GCCGCGCAAGAAAGGTGTCTCAAGCCAAACATAAAGCTCTTCAGCGCGAAGGTGTGTGTGCCCACTCTACGCTGACTACGCTACGCCATCTCATTCGCCTCCTCCGTTGTATAGCTATGGGAACGTGGTTCTGACAAGAGAGAAACGCAGGACAGGTCATGGTGTCTCATCGTTCGCGACCGTGTGAGCGTGGGCAAATCACGAATGTCAAGGATTCATAGCCATCAGGCGCCGCCGACTGGTCAGGATGATTGATGGTGGCTCACGTTGTGATGCGTGGCGTGGCGTGGGCTCAGGAGCCCGCCATCAAGCATCATCACGGCGGCCCTGCTATCGCTACATGGCTGCTCGCGTATGCTTCGCGGTATGCGGTACCTGGTACTCACGACTCACTGGTTTGCGCAGCTGAATCAAGAATCTGTGTGTGTGTGATGCCATGGAGTGATGCGTGATGCTCATGAGCCTCGCAAGCCTCGGGGTGCAAGGCTGCAGATAGATGAGTGCATGGCTCTGAGCTGCTGCTGCTGATGCCGGGCGGACTTGCAGCACATATCAGCACGCGCGCACGTCTAACCGCGCGGGCGCCTGCTTCGCTCGCCCGCCGCGCCTCTGCATGCTGCTGAGCCGTGCGCGGGTGCTGATGGTTGCTGCATGCTGGCTACCCCCAGCGGAGCGCAGGAGAAAAGACGTACGCGAGAGCTGCAAGCAGGCGGGCGGGCCGCGTGCTAAAGGAGCTGCCCAGCCGATCTCGATCGAGCAGCGGGCGCGAGCGCGAGCGAGAGTCGGGAGTGCAATGTGAATGTGTCGTGCATCACACCACCAGCATACTGTACACATCAGACCGGAACAGCCTCGCCTGGCTCACAAAATCACCAAATCGCGCCAAACGGTCACGAGCACCGACCGGACCGTTGATTTGATTTGTTGGGATCTAGAGGACAGCTTTGGTCGCCTCCGCCTTTGCTTCATCCATCCCTCACTCAGACTCCCCTTGCTCCTCGCCCCGCATCCGGTTGGCTCGCTATACGCCTTTTGGTCACCAGTTCATTTGGCCCAGCGCAGTGCGAGGTGTCGCCATCACGCTTACCCTCCTTTGCACCTATCGCCCATCCCGACATCTCTGGCGAGCTTACACCCAACACCAAGCACTTCGGAGGTACCTGAGAGAGGGGACAGCAGAGCAAGGAGCCTCTCCAACGCAACGCAGAGCTCCTCTGACCAGTGCTGGACAAGTCCTTCTACTCCTGCGACCCGGCGATCATTGACCTACGCTCTCCTTACAGCAGAACGCCCAGCCGTGTGGGTGTGCAGAGCCATCTTCAACGCTGCGTAGTAAAGACCGACTGTTCCACACATCGCCTCTGCCACTCATGGCGGTAAGTCAATCCGTCACTTCTAGCCCAGTGTTTCGTGAAGCTGACGAATGAAAGTGTGTGCGCAGGACTCGACGGACTCGCACATCGCCGATGTGCTGGCGCGTGTGCAAGTGCAACGCAAGCACATGGAAGCAGCGCAAGCTGTGCGAGGCCTGACATCAAATCAAGATGTCATCCGCAACGCCGAGGCCCAAATACGAGACGCTCAGCGCAACATTTCATATCTCGAAGAGAGCTTGCGCCAATTGCAAGATAGGCGCGCAAGCTCTGGCACGCCTGGCAGGACGGATAGCCCTGGTGGCGTGAGGCCAGGCGCTGGCAGTGCGCAAGGCGGGCAGCCAGGTGGCCCTCAGCAAGGATATGCCTCCAGCACCCATTCGGCTGGGAACAACAGCAGTTCATCCTTCACTTCGCCCTACGCAGCCGGTCCTGAATCACGAAGACCATATCCTGGAGACAGCAGCAGCAGCTACGTCTCGTCCGCCAGCTCAGGCGGGTGGAATCGCTTCGAGGACAGGCCCCTGCCTGCAGCTCCCGGCCATTCGGGAGGTGAGAACTTTGGCTCTCCTGGTGGACAAGGAGAGTGGCGACCTGCGCCGATCGGTCGCATGGGCACTAGCGCAAAGAAGCAATACACAAATCTTGGTGAGTTAGTCAAGCTTGCCTCTGATTCCGGACGCTACAAGGCGGCAGACAGACCTGACTCTCCTCTGACGCTTCTTCGTTCTCTATCGACTTCAAAGACCTCATCAAGTACGACACGCCCCACACCACGGCCAAGATCTCTAGAATGCTTCATCAGCTCGAATTTAAGCTTCAGATTGAAAAGCAAATGAAAGTTGGTATCGACAAAATGGCCAAGCTCTATTCTATGGAAGGTGATCGCAAGAGCAAAAATGACGCCGAGAGCAAGAGAGTGGAAAGTGAGAAGAAGCTGGTTCTGCTCCAGCAAAGCTTGAAGCGCTACAAGCAACTGCACGTCATGGAGGAGAGCGGGGAGGACGAGATGCGTGCGTGACTGATCGTCGAAGCAAGGCTGTGCTATTGCGCTGCGCGAGCGTTCTTGATCATCAGCTGACCAAGGTTCCTGCCCCATCGCAGCCGGCTCCATCGAAGACCGTAGGCAAAAGCTCCGAAAACCCCTTTCTGGTACGCTGCAAGTGTCCGTGCGCAGCGCACGAGACATTGATCATGCGCCCAACGCGCGCATGGGAAGAAGTGTACGGGAATCGACTGTCGTGATCAAGGTCGAAGATACGCCACGAGCACGAACACATCCAAGCCGCACGGACCGCTGGCAAGAAGACTTTGAAGTAGCGGTCGACAACGCCAACGAAATCGAAGTGACGGTTTATGACAGAGTTGGCTCTGCGCATCCAGTCCCTGTTGGTATGCTGTGGATCAGGATCAGTGACATCGTGGAGGAGCTGCGCAAAAAGAAGTTTGGTCAAGTCTCGACCATTGATGGCGGCACGAATGCGCCGGGAGGCTGGGGCACTGCAGAGGACGTTGCAGCGGAAGGGCCCGGTGCGAGAGGCTTTGGTGGTGTTGCCGGGGGCGGCGCAGGTAGCCTTCAGGATGCCAGCTTCCATCTAGGACCTGCCGGGGCCCAAGTGCCACTCGGCCCAACTCAGGATGGTGTGGAAGCGTGGTTTGCGGTCGAACCTGCAGGCGCTATCTTCTTGCGCCTAAACTTCATCAAGCAAAACGTGCGCAAGCGTCCTTACGATGCGCGCCTAGGTCGTCAAGGTGCCGTGCGCAAACGAAAGGAGGACGTCGCAGAGATCAATGGACACAAGTTCATCTCGAGACAGTTCTATCAAATTGTTCGTTGTGCTCTTTGCGGCGAGCTCCTCCTGAACGCCACCGGCTCGCAGTGTGAAGACTGTCGCTACACTTGCCACAAGAAGTGTGCACAGAAGGTCGTTACCAAGTGCATCAGCAAGAGCAATGCAGAGACGGAGCGGGATGAGGTCAAGATCAAGCATCGCATCCCTCATCGATTTGTGCCGTTGACAAATATCAGCGCAAACTGGTGTTGCCACTGCGGTTACATCTTGCCCCTGGGCCGCAAAAATGCTCGCAAATGCGCTGGTGAGTACACGCGAAGGGGGAATAAGAGGTCAAACTCCGTCTGTCACAGTCGCTGACATGGCTTTCTGAATGGCAGAATGCGACATCACCGCCCACAGTGACTGTGCGCACCTGGTCCCCGATCTGTGCGGCATGTCAATGGAGCTGGCCAACCAGCTCTTGGCAGACATGGAAGCTATCGACCGCGTCAAGTCCTCAGCCAAGACGCAGCTGCCCTCATCTCAACAGCAATTTGGCGGTGGTCAGGCCAACGGAGGCCGCATCGGAGCTCCCAGACCCACCTTTGGTGGACCCGGCGCGCCTGATGGACGCCTCACAGGCCTCGAGCAGCAGACAGCTCAGAT